AAAAATAATTTTGGAATATAGTCCTCAAAGAACCGTACTTTATTTTCAGACTTTTTTCTATCTATACTTCTATACTTATATAATAAAGCTGAAGCTTTTGTTTATTTGAACACGTTAATCTCAGAAACTACTGGTTCAAATTCAAAAAATCTTTTTGTGTTGGATAGTCTATGTATCATATCTACATATAGGCTATATAACATCACGCTACGATCATTAGGAGCGAAATAGCAATGAAAAATTCGGAAAAACGGGAAAATTATTCCTCCTTTGACTGCTTCCGTTGCTTACGCTGCTTAAACGGTTAAAGTTACGTAAAAATCATGTATGACGAAATTGTTCCCCTCTAAAAGTTCTAAAGAAAAGTCCGTGAGAGCATATGTCTATCTTTTAAGGTCGAGTCAGTATAACCTTTTTTATGGTAATGAAATTTGTTCTAAAATCATAATGCATTATGTATAAAATTCTCGCGTCACAGAGTTTGTAACCGAACTCCTCCGAAACGGGTTGACCGATTTGTATGAAATTTTTTATGTATATTCGGTAGGTCTGAGAATAGGTTGTAAACTATTTTTTAAACCCCTAAGTGATAAGGGTGGCCCACCCTAAAAAATGTTTGTCTATTTTTTGGACAAAATTTTTTATTTTTATTTTTTTAAGAATTGGCATAAAAAATACACATAACCCTGCAAAAACTAGAAATATTTTGATTTGATATTCGAGTAGATACTTCGTATTTCGAGTATGAGCGTCTACTGAGTTTTATTTATATCAACCATTGTCAAAAAATTGATCGAACGTTGTTTCGACAGAACTTCCTTCGCACCAAAAGTATAATGAAACATATTCAGCATTTTCGAGTTGAGTCTTTTCTTCACACAATTTTGTGATGACCTAATCAACATTTACGATCAACACGTATACCACCTTGGATTGGTGCAGTGTAATACTAAAAATAACTGTATTGTATTCCCAAAATTATCTGCGAAAATCGAGTGAGATATTCCATCAATTTTTTGGGGGCAATAAATAAATATTCTTAACAATTTATCATGCTTACGATAACTTTAAAACGTCTGCAAGATCTCAAAGTATTCATTTTTGCAACTCTTGAGTTATTCACTAAAATAAATTGACTGATCCATATATTTTTTGAGTCACTGTAAAAGCAAATCTAAAAAACATGAATGCAATGATAAATTACGAAAATATACTGATGATTTATTCGACAAAATGAGATGACGTCTTCAAGTTTTTGGGCTTGATAAACAGACATATTTTGATTGAAAACCTACCATGTCAAACAGTAACTTCAAAATCTCTGCAATATTTCAAAATTCAGTTTTGCAATTCTCGATTCAATCAATAAAATAAATTGACTCAGTGATTAATTTTTTTGAGACACCCCCTATAAGCAAAACTAAAAAATAGAAATGGAATAATAAATCACAAGTATAGTCTCATCCTATTTTGGACATTTTAGATAGGATTCATTTAGCAAAATTTTGGGCTGGCGTCATCAATTTTTTGGAGGGGATAAGTAAATATATTTTGAATAAAAATTTATTATGCTTATCATATGTTTAAAACATCTGCAAGATTTCAAAACATTCGATTTTGCAGATTCAAAATTAAATTGTAGGTGAAACGAAGTTTACGGGGTCAGCTAGTCTCTAATAAGTAAGAACCCTGTATTTAAAACGTGGCTACAAAATTTTAATTTTTTTGTGAAAATCTGGATGCCAGAGGGGTAAAAACTCAAGGCGGATTCATAAACCACAAGTACAGTATTTGTACCAAGCAATATTTTGAGATGACATTATGAAATTGTTGGTGGTTTTGATTATCGTTTTACCATCTACACACTATTCGTAAAATAAAATTGACAGCAATCGGTTAAACGACAAACAAATGACAGACAGACGACACAGAGGCGTAAATTTTTACTTTTCCATCTAGAAATTCCTAACAAAATTTAAAACAAAATAGAATTCAACTAAAATAATAAAAATATCAAATAACAACAATATGATGAGGAAAAACTTTATTTGCACAATCAATACAAAACTTAAAACTTGCTATAGGTATTCCAGAAAAGCACAGTTGTAATGTTTTATAATTAATTGTAAATTGTCTAAGGTTATTTAGACAAAATTTCTCTCCCGAAGTACTGTCGAAATTTGCGAAATTTTATTTATTTTATGATAACTTCAGGAACCCCTATAACAACAAAAAAATATAAATAATACCAGTCATTTTCTAAGAAAAAAACTGTCGCTATTTCGCTACTTTTATGCTGTTATAAGAATACATAATAATTTTATTATTTGAAAAAATCTGTATGTCTAAGGTAGAAACTGAAGGCGGATTGATAAACCACAAGTATACAGGATTATATTATTTTTTAGACAGACTGACGCAAACGGGAGACTTTATTTCTTCATGCTCCAGGGGTCGTGAAACTTCGAGAAAATATGAAAGTAGTCGATCGCCAGACCCTAATACTTCCGTAGCTTACGCTCGGAAAGCAAAAACAATGCTTTTGTATATTCTAAAAATGCTTAATCTAATTCTCGGTTGTTTTTCACATTTGCTGTCCGACTGGTGTTATTTTTTATAATCTCAATAAAAAGTCTGCGTAGAATGTAGCAATTATAAGGAAATTTTCTTCATAAACTAAAGCAAACTCAATTCTGTCCAGGGGTAATGTAATAAATTTAGAAGTTCTTTTATATTTCCGTACAAAACCTTTCTGTTTCAATTAAGCAGACGAACACTGTGCCCTTTCTTTGTAATGTCACTGTAAATTTAGAAACTCAGTCATCTAATTCGTAAGATATTTTCAACAATGTCTTCACTTACAACAATGTTTAATTGTTTAGGAGAATATTTTTTTTTTATGAGATGGTTAAATTTATAAATATTAGTGATATCTTAATACAGAACCTGCTGATATTCAAACAACAAAATAAAAGAGCAACAAGAAAAGAAAGAATTCAGACAGCGAAAAGTGAAATTTTCATCATTATAACCGTAGTATATCAAATTCGGGTCAACATTTGTTCTGAATTCCTGTGCCTCATACCACAATATGCTTCTAATTATGTTTGATTTCATCAATTTAGAACATTCCAAATTGTGGCGCTTTGTAGCAAAACAAACAAACACTAGAACCAACCATTGTAGCTCTACGTAAAGTTTCGCAGTCACACTTAACTTCTGAAGACAAAAACAAAACAAGTTCAGTTGTTCCAAATACCGAAAAGCTTTCCACTTGGCGTCTACACTAGGACACTTATTTAAATTTTAATCCTTCTCAATCCAATCCCGTTAAATAAATTAAAAGATACTTATACCTGCCCCGCATTAAATCGTAGACAGTTATAAATAGCACCTATTTGTATAAGAATATGAGCAATATGTTATCTTAAAATTTTACGCGAAGAACCCCTAGTCTGTAATAAAAAGATATCCCGGATAGCGCATGAGTACGTGATCAGTAAAGATATACGACCACAGCGCCAAAAATAATTTTTCACTAATGTTGTAAAAAATCAATATACTACAGTTTGAAACTCACATTACACAAACTAAAAATTTATAAGAGGTTTATTTCGTTAATGAAAACATTAACATCTTTTAGCGTAGTTTCACGTCGATATTTTACTCTTGTCACATTCGCACTTAACACCGAAATGAACTAAAATCCACAACCGTTAAACTGAAAATTGCATTTACTCAGAAAACATAAACACGTAACACCTAGCATAATCTCTTTTATGAATCTATAAATCATCGATCACGCTGAATCCTGAAATAAAACAAACATACGTAAATTCGCAATGCTACGGGAAAAATTAAAAACCCAGCTTTGTTAGCATAAATTACGCCACAGTCTGAGGTGGAGCTTTTGTGTAAGACCGTGGAATTACGTTTAATAACATTTCATAAAGCAGGATAAGATTAACTTCGTAACTGTATGAATTTAAAATAAATCGATTACAGACCAACCAAGTTATGAATTTTTAATTAAAGTTTCATCATGCTTTATATAAAATTCAAAGAGTCGTAGGTGGAAGAAACGAAGGTGATGGTAGAACAGACTGAACAGCTTAATCACTTATTGAACGTTCTTGAAAAATCCCGACACCGGATGAAATCTCCAAATGTTGATTTCTGACAATATCGCTTTCTATTTTTTCTGTCCGATTATTATTTGAAAATAAATAACGCTTAAAATTAAATTGTGTTATTGTAGAACGTTCGAGTATAAAACGTGACGAATTTACTACGACTAACACAGAAGCGATTCTGAATCATGTGAAATCGAAGCTCAAACTTAGTGGGAGAATTTTAGCACAGTATGCGCTATCTCCAGTTGATAGTTAGTGCTATTATTGGTCGAGAACCAAAGACCTCCCCGGAAAAACACTGCTAGTGCCAAAATTCAAATCGTTGGATAACGGCCAACCAACCGCCAGGATCCTTGCACTTGCAACTTTTTTCTCTGATGACTACTTAATGGATTTTTTTGGACATCTTAAAGACATATTTTTCTAAAAAGAAATCTCATTTATCGAGTATCTGTAATTCTGTGTTAAAATTATCTTCTTCAAAAATTCTTAGCGAATGAATATTTTATGGTAATTAGTAGTTACATTGTGAATAGGTGTAACGGCAAAAAAAGTACAAAATCATACAGTAGAATGAGATTTTAACACCAATTTCGGAAAAAAGTTTTTACTTAAATGTCAAATCGATAAAGGTTTATGAGGGTGTTAAAGTAGATCAACTTAATTTATAATAAATGACCCGTAAGAAAATTTTTTTCGCCTAACTTGCACCAGATATTTTTAGAAATCTTCTACATAGCAGTTAACCGGCTAGAATTATTTCTAGGCACCACCAGTCATCCAAAAACCCCAACCACGCGAATATTTACAAAGAAAAGCTTACTCAAACGAACGATTGTTTAGCGCGAATTAATTAAACCCATGTACCTTTGTTTACTTAGGATCCTCCCGTGCTTCACCACAGCAACAGCAGCAGCGTCTCGACGCCGTCGTCGTGGGCGTAAACTCCCGCATCATCGCGCGATATCAAACACATGCTACGAGTAACATACACAAAAACAAATCACTTCGAAGTTTGTATCGTTGTAACGTTGACAAGACACGTAAATTGACACGGATGTCAGCCGACGGAGCGGTGACGGAAGGAGGCGGCGACTGCCCCCGGCCTCGACCACGCGTTTGCACTTAACCAGGTGTTGCGCTCTGTGATGCCGGAGCAAAGAGAACTACCCCCATGCTGCAAAAGGACTGCAGACTGACTCCGCCCGGACAGCGGACCTGAAACCCGGACCCGGACGAATCCGGGCGAAGCGCGACGAGCCGATTCCCGGAAACAACGGCCGTGAAATCGGTCCGGAGCGTCGCCGCCGCCGCACCCGAAGATACCTTACGCCAAGGATGGCCAAATATTGCAAAAAATATACACACAAAATTTAAAAAGAAAAACAGGAAAAAACACCACAAGACGATATAATATCTTAAATAACATGTCGAGAACCTAAAGGTTTTAAATTAAAAACCTGTTGTATTAAGAACACATTATAGTGTGTGACCTTGTTGATCAGAGTTAGCGCCATGCATACCAGATCAGAGTAACGCAGGACATTCGTCACCATTTAAAGAAAAATAGCAGATCTTTCAGTAACTAAAAGCATTTTGATTACAATTTTTTTAATATAATAAGTACTCCTAATATTTTAGTTAAAATTTTTGAAATCTTTTCAAAAAAGCTCGCACTAACGGTTTGACTTCCTGAAACTTCGGTGGTGAAATGGGTCCGGTGCGTACCGCAGCCTCCCTCAGACACCTTAGAGCAAAGATATCCGAAATTAATTTACAAAGCTTGTTTGTATATAGAGCCCATTTCATCCTCAGCCGCAATATTGGCGGAGTTGGGTCGCGCTGGCCCGAGTTTTTAATATGCAATCGATACCGCTTGAAATAAAGAACGGCGGTGTTCAAATATTTGGAGGGTTTTTAAATCAGGCGAGCTAATGGAGGTTTATTATTTAAAAACGAGCTTCCGAGGATGTGGACTTTGCTACAGGTTCGAACCGTTGTATCGAAAATGCGGGACTTTTTGGTCTGGAATAAGGGGGAAGATAATTCGCCGGAATTCTTAACGTGAAGCGGTAAACTTGTTAATGGTAAGTGAATTATAGAGTTGAAATGTCTACTTGATGCAAAAGGGGGGAAATTTATGCGTGGGGAGGGGCGGGATGCTGACTTTTGCATGTAGGTACTGGATTACTTTTTAGAATATGTTGTCATCAAGTTTATTTTTAACTTTTAAGATTAAAATTTTCTTTTGTCTTAAGAGTGTAGTATATGATTCTGCTTAGAATAAAAGCATTTTTTTCAAAATACAATGAAATTTGGAAGGTATACATATCGCCTTAAATTTTTTGAGATCAGGAAATTAAACTTTGTTAATCTTGTGTGATTATTCAAACAATGTTAGTGTTTTTTAGAAATTGACTTTGCTGAATCGAAATTATGAAATTTCATCTGCAAATTTTATGTTTCAAATAAGAACATACTAAGCTGTATGTTTCAATAGAAATTTCACTGACATTTTAGTAACAGTTTTGTAAATTTTACGTCTGCTGAGAAAATTTTAAAAAATAATAATTAATTTAAACTTCTTCTAATAACTTTCTTTATTATTTCAAGGTCAACCCATTTAAATTTAAATTCTTCATTAAAAGAAGGATACAATTATGTCAATCACAAAAGTTTTTGATAAAAATTTTCAACATTTCAATTTGCTTTTTGAACAATTTTTGGTCAAATATTTTAACTGATATTATTCAAATTAGATTCCTTGCATTTCGTATCATTCTATAAGTAAGTTTTTTTTGACAACAAATTTGTTGTATTTTATGGAGTTGTTTGGAAGATAAAGATGTTTATTAAATAGGTTGATGATCTCGGGCCAAGATTTTCTAAAAATTCGGTTTAACTTTTTTTTTAATATCTCCCAAACTGTCATTTATCAATTTATCGATTTTGGAAAAATCGTTGAAATCTTCAAAGAAATGAAGCCGAAAATAACTTCTACAAGTCGAAATCTAAAAGAAAATGTATTTTGGTGATTTTCGAAAGGACCTCCAAAAACGGTCAAAAAAGCAAAAAAGGTAAACTAGAAAAAATAAGATTTTTTTTTTCGTAAAAATCCTCAAAGAATTTTGGAAAACACATTTCGACGAAATGTTTCGAAAAACATAACGTGGTATTAGTGCCGGAGCAAAATTTTCCAAAATTCGGTTTTAATACCACAATCAACTGTCATTTCTCGTCATTTTATCGATTCTGCAAATTTTGTTGAAATTATCAAAGAAACGAAACCGAAAATAACTTCTGTAAGACCCAATCTACAAGAAAATGTCTTAGGTAAAAAAATCGTATTGAAAAATTGAGATTTTTGAAAACTTGTCTAAAAAACCCTCAAAATATTCCAACAAATACATTAACGCGCTAATTGTGAAAAATTGTATTGGTGCTGATGGTCCCGGGCGAAAATTTTTGAAAAAATCTGTTTGAAAATTTTGAAAAAATTGTTGGAATTTTAGAAGAAATGAAGCCGAAAATAATTTCTACAAGTCAAAATCCACAGGAAAATGTTTTAGGTAATTTTCGACGGTGCTCCAAAAACGATCAAAAAAACTTTATATCGAAAATTTCGGAGTCTTGAAAAGTTATCTAAAAAAATTCTCAAAATATTCCAAGAAATACATTTCGACGATCTGATTAGAAAACTATAAGATGGCCAACGACCAACGTTTTCCAAAATTTGATTTAAAATTGTTATTTTTCATTTTATCGATTCTAGAAAAATTGTCAAAATTGTCGAAGATATGAAGCCGAAAATATCTAAGTTAGTGTCGGCAATTTGGGACATTTGCTGAACATTGCTTATTTTGGAAAAATTGTCATTTTTCATTTTATCAATTCTGGAAAAACTGTTGAATTTTCAAAGAAATTAATCCGAAAATAACTTCTACATGTCTAACTGTCTAAATCTACAAGGAAATGTATTTAAATATTTTTCGATGGTGTTAGAAAAATGATCAAAAGTTCGTATCAAAAATTTGGGAGTTTTGAAAAGTTGACCAAAAATTCCCAAAATTTTCCAAGAAATATATTTCAACGAGCTGGTTCGAAAAATATAAGGATTTGATGATGCAGGACCAAGATTTCTAAAAAAATTCGATTTAACAGTGATTCTTTTTTAAATCTTGAAAATTGTCATTTTTCATTTCATCAATTCTGGAAAAACTGTTAAAATTTTCGAAGAAATGAATCCGAAAATAACTTCTGGAAGTTGAAATTTGCAAGAAAACATCTTTAGGTAATTTTCAAAAGGTGGTTGGAAAACAATAAAAAAATTCATCCTGAGAATTTTGAAAAATTGAGATTTTTGAAAAGTTGCCCGAAAACCCTTAAAATGTTATAGAAAGTATATTTCAACAAGCTAATACCAAAAATATAACTTATTGTTGATGATCCCGCGCTAACACATTCCAAAATTTGTTTTAAAACTAAATTTTTGTATATCACGGAAATTATCATATTGTATTTGACCGATTCTGGAAAAGTTGTTGGAATTTTCGGGCAAATGAAGTCGAAAGTAACTTGTAAAAGGCGGAGTCTACAAGAAAGTGTCTCGATCATTTTCGAAGGATGATCGAAAGAGTCTAAAAATTCAAGCGAGCGATTCTGAAAAATTGAAGTTTTTAAAAAGTTATCTAGAAATCCTTAAAATTTTCTTATAAATACATACACTTCGACAAGTTAATTCAAAAAGCATAACATAACTTGTTGATGACCCTGTACTAAGATTTTTTTTTAATTTGGCTCGAAAATTATTTTTTACTTCCCAAGTGTAAGCGAAGGAAGTATTCTAATCGAGTCTGTCGACCGACTCCCTACTTTATAGTTTTCTCGTCCTTTCATGACCCCTTAAGAACAAAGAAATAGGTCTCCCGTTTCCGTCTGTCTGTCTGTCCGTCCGTCTGTCTGTCCGTTTATCTGTCCTTCCGTCAAAAATTGTCATTTTTTTTTCTTTTATTGACTGTGGGGAATTTTTTTGAATTTTCGAGCAAATGAAATCGAAAATAACACTACAAGCCCAAATCTACACAAATTGTCTTTAGCCAATTTTCGAAAAAAATTTCAAAATATTTTATGCATTTGGACAAGCTGATTCGAAAAATACAAGATGTTAATGGTACCGGACCAAGATTTTCCAAAATTCGATTTAAACGTGACGTTTCTTAAATATAGCTAAAACTCTCATTTTTTATTTTATCGACTCTGGAAAACTGTTGAAGTTTTCAAAGAAATGAACCCGAAAAGTATAAATCTAAAAGAAAACGTTTTTAGGTAATTTTCGAAAGGTGCTTGAAAAACAACGAAAAATTCATGGTGGGGATTTTGAAAAATTGACATTTTTGGAAAGTTACCCAAAAATTCTTAAAATATTATGACAAATACATTTCAACGAGCTAATTTGAAAAACATAACTTGTTGATGGTTCCGGAACAACATTTTTCCAAATTCGATTTTTTTTTTTTAATCTCAAAAATTACCATTTTATTGATTTTGGGAAAGTTGTTGGAATTTTCGAAAAAAATGCAGGGAAAAATAACTTCTGGAAGTCTAAATATACAAGAAAATGTCTTTAGGTAATTTTTGAAAGGTGCTTAAAAAACAATAAAAAAAATCATCCTGGAGATTTTAAAAAATTGAGATTTTTCAAAAGTTACCTAAAAATCCTTCAAATATTTATTTTCGGAAAAGTAATTTTTTTAACGTCTGGAAAATTGTCATATTGCATTTAATCAAGTCTGGAAATGTTATAGGAATTTTCGGAAAATTGAAGCCGAAAACAACTTCTACAAGTGGAAATCTACAACAAAATGTCCTTATTTTAATTTTCGAAAGATAATAGAAAAAGAGTCAAAAAATTCATACAGGCGGTTCTGAAATATTCAAGTTTTTGAAATGTTTTGTAAACACCGTCAAAATTCTCTAGTAAATACATACATTTCAACGACTTAATTCAAAAATCATAACTTATTGATGGCCATGAACCAAGATTTTTGAGAAATTTGGTTCAAATATGATTTTAATTTTTTTAATACGTGATACATAAAAATTTTCATTTTTCATTTTAACGATTCTCCAAAGAAATGAAATTGAAAATAACTTCTACAAGTCTATTT